GGGGCAGAAGATCAGGTTCTCGATATCGTGCATCAAACGTCTACTGGTTTCATGTAGGTATTGATTACCTAGCAAAAAGATGCAGACAAGAACACCGTATCCAAGCCGAGGAGCTTGCACACTTTGCACAGTCTGGCGATCTGGAGAACAATCCCAGTAATGCTTTAGGGCGAGAAATTGTTGCAGCCGTCACTGAAGAAAGACATTGTAAAGAGACGAGCTCGTGCTACAATTGTGGAAGAGTAGGCAAATGAAAATCGAAAGCAAGTCAAGAGGCAATTTTAGCATGGTGTACAAGAAAGATGGCGATGTGGTGCTTGCAGCTAGTGACAGCAGGCATGACAAGTAACATGAATGGATACTCGACATCGAATTAATAGATGCCTACGGAGAGCGTTGATTGACGCAAAAGATTTCAATGATGAAGTTTCTCTTGCCGACAACGAGAAAGTTTGATTATGCAATGTTTGCAGTGTTCGACATCTTGCGGTCGCAAATGGACAAGATAAATTAGTCAAGCTGACAATCATATATAATCTGCACCAACTCCAGCGTACAACGTTATCAGCTGTGGGAATTTAGATGGAAAGGTGAAGCGTTAAGTATTAGGATGGGATGCGAGCGGTAGTCTGACGCGTTAATACTCGATCGTGTTTAATGTGCCGATAAAGAACCGTTTCGTGTCTCTCAAACGTCAATGACGTGTCGACACAATAAAGTCTCAGTAAATGACATCTTTGCTGTCGTTGTCAGAAGCGACAAATGCTCAGTATCGTCCGGAAATGCATCATGAATCCCTGCAACACTTTTTTCAACGGATAAATCATTTTTCATATGATACAATTGAAATCATTGCAGGAAGTTCATGCTTTTATATTAAGATGACCTATCACAAGCGAGTGAAATTCGTCACGTGCGCACATTCTGAATGGACAAAGAACAGGCAGGACCAGGAGGATTTGTTTGTGAATCTGCTGACATTGTTGGCGGTGTGCTTGTTTTCAATCTCAAGGGAACCCTGACTCCATCGAATCATCTCATTAATTCTTAGTATAAATACCGTCAGACCTTTTTGGTACGCACGAAAGATGCTGTGGTGAAGACGTTTGGTCCAGACTTGGCATACTTCGAGCCTCAGTTAGAGTGAAAAACTGCAGTTCTTATGACAGATTCCGGAGGGAAGCATCAAACTTTGATCAGTTCTGGTAAGTTAGAGTGAATAACTGCAGTTCTTATGACAGATTCCGGAGGGGAGCATCAAACCTTGATCAGCTCTGGTAAGAAACTAGAGCTGCAATGAAAGTAAGTGCAGCGTAAATCAAGCTTCACATGGAAAAGTCGAGCGTTTCCACAGAAAGATCCTGAACATGACGTAGGAGATGAATTTCGTGTCACATTTTCCACTTTTGTTCTAGGGCAACGCGGATAAGTACAACGCGTACACCCTGAAGAGGAGACCTACGAGTTCGAACCAAAAAAATGTCGTTATCCGAGGTTATGACGAAGTATTATTCCGACATGCGCATTATAGTTGTGTGTGGTTGTCTGTGTACTATCTACTGTGACCCAAGCAGAAAGAACTTGTTCGTGCATCGCACTTAAGCGGGGGATATTGAATACACAAAATATAAAGGATTTTGTCAAGCAGAAAAATTATTCCATCACAACGCAGCTAGCCAAGAATATCAAAATGCTGTCTGAAGCATTTAACATTCGTATCCAATTAACTCTTGGTGACGGAAATCAAGATGATGAAAATGAAGACCCTATATATTGGGCAAGACACAGTATTAGTGAGATTTACAGGGGGAACAACATGAATAAAACTGTACAAACCGCTGACCACATGATACAATAGGAGCGGTAAAAAATGAGATGCATTAAAGAGACATAGACGACTACCGATACCATCAGTCATGTCTTCGACCAAGACCTACGCAAATAAGGAGAAGCTATAAAGAATAAGAAAAAAAATGAACGTAAAATTCGCAATGCGAGAGATTTGAATGCACCAGGTAAAAGTAAGGTGTGGAGTGTGTCTCTTTTTAGCCACGTAAATCAATTTTTCCTGTATCAAATGGCTATTCAAAGCTAAAAAAACTGCTAATGAAGATCTGGAGAGGAACAGAGCACTTCTTGCCGCCCGCGGTATAAACTCGCTAGCATTTGCTATTGTTATGAACATGCCGACAGTGAAGGTCATTTTGGCGTTTGCTGCTACTTTGGGTAATTTGGCGAAGCACGGATTCACGCCGAACTCTGATGTGAAAGCGAATAAAGAACATCATCACGAGTTGCTGATACACTTCTCCAAGTGTATGTCAATCGATGCAAGTGATTATATGAAGACTAGATGCAGCGCGTAGCAAGTACATTGTGCTCAAATTCGAAAAACGTCTTTACGACTATTAAATCAAGGATGCTGTGGAGCCAGCTGATCGATAGTTGTTTGGTAGATTCGGGCTATACATGAACCAGGAGCTACCTATATTTGTACTATAAGCGGACATTGGTGTCAGTCGTAATTGTAGGGGATTACGCTAATGATCTTTTGGTTACTGTAAACGTCGAATGTTGTAGTCGAAAAATCTTTTATAGTCTTGAAGTGTCTTCCGCTAAGGACCTTGGTCCTTTGTAAAGTCATCAGCATTCATGTTTTGTAAGATAGAAACCGCGCATATTTACTTGTGTATTAAAAGGCGAATTTCAAGTTGCGGCGATATAACGGCATGTTTGATTTAAAAATTAAACTCGTGCGCCCATTGGTACAGATTTCATCGAGTTTCAATGTGATGACAGCGCCCTGTTAGAAGATACGAGCAATTAAAGTCAACCGAATGATTCTGACTTTCAGTATTTTGTCACGTCTTTACTTTGGTTTTCTGGTGTACGCGCCCTTATATCGCATTTGTGGTGCTCGAAGTCACCAGGCAAACGAATAAGCCAAGATTGCTCGGCTGAGAATCGTGCATTAATGGAGTGGACGCGTGCGCTAAAGCTGGGGTAACAACGGATGTCGCGACGGGCGCAAAGCCAGTTTTTATTAACTACAACAACGCAGATTACGTGGTCGACAAAACGACCAGAAAGCCTCTAAAAGACACTATTGTTTTGCTGAAACGTTCGGCTGTCAGCTGGTGTTAAAAATATCAAAGAGGCGTTGCGCTCTCGACTATGGAATAGAAAAATGTGGAGGTTAGTGAATCTGAAAGAGAGCTACTTGGTTTGAGGAGTTGCGTATAAGATTGGCGCATCGCCTGTGCTACCGATGACAATATGCACTTACGAGTAGGTGGCGATCCCCCGAATCGGAGGGAAAGTAGCATCAATGTAGACAAAGCACATTGACTTGAAAGTTAATGGTCTGTGTAACTATTCTCACAGGTGCATTGTATCGCCACAACATGTGCCTATCTAGATGATGCTCGTAGTAAGTGCCTGACTGAGGCACTAGGCGCAGCAAGGACAGTCTAATTGCGCTCATTGCTTCACACCATGCAAGTGAAGCGTTTGAGGCACCGACAACGAGGAGTGTAAAAGACCAGGATATAGAAAATGGAGCAGTTGCCAGTCGTCATGTGCTGCACGACAGGCCTCGTGAAACGGTGTCAGTGTCTGTTTGCGAATTCGCAAACGGGACGAAAATGTCTGTTAGGATGGATGAAGAAGAATGCAACTGTAAATGATCAGGTACAGGCTCGTCCTAGCTTTAAAAGACAATCAGTCAGGACGACAGCAGCACAGAATAGATATCAGTTTTCGTTGTGCCTCATAAGGAGCCGACCGACATAGGCCAACATGTACAATACATAAATCTGGGGGAAAAGACTTAAATGCGGACACAAACAAATTGGGATGCAGGTAGAACAACCTCCGTTGCATCAACAATCTTTTTGAATCAGCCACTTTCCACCCAAGTTGTATTTACTCGGCACTAATTACCGCGTTTAGACTTCCTCATCAAACTGTACGATCCTTGCTTTCAAGATCTGTGCGTAATTAACAGGTTGTAAACTCAAGCATGACCTCGGCATTTTTGTCGCGCGAATTTAGCCGACACTGGCTCCACTGGAATAATGGTGTAGAATTGGAGGCACTTAGTTGCTGATAACATTTGCATTATGCGATGACTCGTCGCAAACGAAAGACAAAGAATGTCCGTAAACATTGAGTATACTACCTGATACCTACGAAGCATCAATCACAAAATTATCGTACAAACCGACGCAACGACCAGTGACTGTTGTAGAAAATTGGAGAGCCTTCATCATTATTCGCAGCAGGTCATGATAAATAGGAGCATTTCTGCTGCACTATCTTATATGCATCCGCCTCAAAACAATCGAGACAATCTAATCTGGTATGGTCACGTGCATATTGTAGTTGTAACGGGGTCGAACCATTGCACGAGAATGTATGTGTAAGGGCACGAACTCAAAGCATATACAAGTCCACTGAATTCCACGACTCACTCAACAAAGGAATTAAGTCCCTTACGCGTGTAGTAAGAGCAACAATAAAGTGACGTACGCGCTTAGTAACAGGACAAAGCATATCTGTAGATATATTGTATTCATCTTTATGTCAAAGCAACAACATAAAAATGGCTTGCAAGTCTAAAAAATTGTCACCTGGTCTGCAGAGTGCTTCGCTAGCAGTGTTGTAACGAGCTAATGATCACCATGGTTCTTATAATCTAAGAACAGCTTCCTCTGATTCTACTCGATGGCCATATAAGGTATACGGACGGTTGTGTAACACCGCACACGGCATGGGCCTTCCCATGAGCTACAGCTTATGACTTAATACCGACTAAATTATCATCGATACAATATGCCATTATCAAGGCGGATAAGTTTAGCTTGATCGAATGTACTTGCGTATCGGTAGATCGTTCATAGGTCGTGTATGTGTATATGCAGTAGGCAACAATCACAATTCCATCGTGCTGCGAACAAGTCTATCAATGATTTCTATCAAAGGTAACAAGGCAAAGCGCCTCAGTCGCTTCTGTCAGCCTTCTTGCTCTTCTTGTGCTTTTTGTCCTTCTTGTGTTTCATCTTGACGTCATGTGCATGTCCGTCATCGTTCCCAGCCTTGCGCTTCTTATCCTTCTTGTGAGCTTTCGAGTGCTTTGTCGGTTCATCTTCCCCCTCCTCATCAGCCCTGCGTCTCTTGACCTTCTTGCTCTTTTCGTGCTTTTTGGAACGCTTTCCATCAACCTCTTCTTCGTCTGTCGCATCTTCCGCCTCGCATATCGAGCTCTCCTTATCTTTGTCTCCTTTTGTGCGGAACTGCGTCTCTGCTTCTCCAGCCTGTTTGCTCTGCATTGTAGCGATGCCTTGATCGTGCTGGAACGGACAATTATTGCCACGTGCGCAGGATCCACTGCGCTGCCAGTTGTAGCACACACTTTGGAAACGTTTCTGGTATTCGCTGACTTCTTCGACTGCAACCAAAGGAGCTGCTTGTGGCTCGTAATCAGTGTGTGCAAATCGACAAGACGCTCCTCGCGCGCACATCCCCGACTGGAAATTCCTGCACACAGCAACTTCAGCTACTGCAGCAACCGGCAGTACGACGCGAATGGGAGCTTTCCAGCTCTTGTCTTTAGGTACTTGATCACCTCCTGCCGGTGCAGTGACATGACGAAATCGACAGGCTGCTCCACGCTTGCACTTGCCCTTCTGATAGTTCTGACACACCGGTGCCGCTTCCTCGGCAAGCGTCTTCTCTTCCTCTGGCACCTCCTCTTTCCCCTCACTCTCGGCCTGCACTATCTCAACTCCGTTTTCTTCCATTGCAGTCTTCTCAGCACTGTCGCTTCCATGCAAATGTCGGAACTTACAAGCTGCACCGCGTTTGCATTTTCCCTTTTGAAAATTGATGCAGATCGGTGCGTCTGACGTTGCTTGAGTCTTTTCACCATCTACCATCCGGGCATTTGGATCGGCAGGTCCCGCCAAAGCAGCACCCGGAGTCGCCAATTCACCCGCAGGTCGTTCAGCTGGTTGCACCAGTTCTTCTGCATCTTGATCTTGCATCACATGGGCGAATTTGCACGCATCGCCACGAGTACATTGACCCTGCTGGAATTTATGACAGATCCCTTTTTTCAGCTTCTTCTGGAGCTCTTCCCGAGCTTGTGCGAACCCATCGTCTCTTGCGCCGTAGTCAATGTTCATCGGACGTCCCATGACGATCATCCCGTCCAACTTGATGGCAGCTTCACACGGTCCTTCTTCATGGAATTGAACGTACCCGAAACCTCGAAACTCTTTTGTCTGAATATGTTCGGCAAACCGAACTGCACGAATGCCGCCACACTTGTCAAACACTTTCCGCAACACTTCTTCGGTAATATCATAAGCCAGATTGCCCACGTAAATTGTAGTACAGCCTTCTGGTCGTGGTCCAATGACTTTCTTCGGGCGTATCACTGCAAGGGTTGTCGACCCTTTTTTTTCTCGACCAGTGGTTGCTGTCGACCCATTTTCGGTCTTTGGCTGCAAAAAACGCACATTTAGCACGCGTTTGTCCCATTTCGTCTGGTTCACTTGGTCCACCGCATCCAAAGCGTTGGTATAGTCGCAAAAAGTGACAAACCCAAAACCTTTCGAGCGGCCTGTTTTCGGATCGTAGACCACTTTGGACTGGTGCATTTCACCAAAAGCATGGAACTTTTCATACAGGGCATTGTCATCGATGTGAGGTGGCAATCCTGCTACAAACACTTTATTGCGATCGCGCCATAAATCCCCGTCCGCCATTTTTTCGCTGCTGCTTTTTTTGGTTGTTTGCTAGTGAGACCGTGTTGGTTGCGTCGTGGCCAATGAAAAAAAGAAGAAGAAAAAGAACGTGATAGAAAACGAGGAACGGTTCCGTGATAATTCGATGCAATGTGCGACTTGCGAACCGTATAATTTAATATTTATCTCGAAGCGATTGGAGGTGGTGTAATTTACGGAAGACACGATCTTAAAAAGACGCGAAAAGAGTAGATCCGGAACGAAGCCAAGGCGCTTATATGACTACAATAACCACTGACGATCGATAATTAGATGGACCGAGAGGTTGATCGAGAGGTAGATAGATAGATCATAATCATACACTATGATGGTGAGACAACAACACTCTCTGTGTGTCGGCGAACCCGAACTTGCCAGAATTTTGTCAATACTTGCGCACAGTTGCGGATGTATCTGTCATTTGCGTATTGTTATGCATTGTACCGCTTGCTACCATGCATTTCTGCTTTGCAGCTGCATCGGACGATGTTGCATGAGGAAAAGAACGAGTTGTTTCGGACAAGTTTGTTTCCAGGATGCTGGCGTCTTTTGTTGCAACATTTCTCGCTCCGATGTTGCTCCTGGAATAGCAAACGTAGCCAGACCCACCCGAGCACCGATGACGACAGAGTAGCAACGAAAGATAAGGCTTTAATAGTTGCATCAAAGATACAGAAGACGCGGAATCGTTCACAAGCTGGACACGGGTTTGCTTTGTCGTTGGGGGCCGCGTAGTAAGCTAAGTCGCTTTTCCTCGTCATCAATCGGCAGGGTTCAGTGTGAGTCATTCCAGTAGTTAACCACTGTCGCTTACTTAAGACTTGACAGGCTGCAGTGATGACCACACTCAATCACGTTATGCATTTTACGTCGGAAGCGCATATGCGGCGTTGATATTGTAAAGAGAAAAAGAGGTAAAATCGCTAAGATAACATCGGCATAGGCAGTCACGTGGGCTTATGATAGCTTATATACATGCGCAAAATTTTAAATGTCGAGTATTCGACCACGTTTGTAGCAGTTGCAGGAAAAAAGACACAGGGTACCTATTTGTAGGAGAATGAAGCCAGAGCTGGCTGCGAGAAACATCTTACTCTTCGTGGAGATGCATCTTGTCATACTGTATGCGCACAGCTGCTGTGATAAGATTGAGAAGTTGATGTATATCTATATTTCTGTCTTCGTCGACTATCCGCAGATTGTTGGACCGCCTGGAGACAGCTGGACGATTACCAGATGCAGCAAACACACTGCCAGCTCTTTTCTAATTGTCGGTTACATTCCAGCGTAGCAGGCACGCCCTCCCACTGATCCATTCATATGCTGTCAGCACGTCCTGATGTCTGTTACGCAACATTAAGACACTTGCATCAATCCATCGGACGTCATTCGTGCACTCACAGGTCCTACTGTCCTCGATGCCGACGAAGCCGACGTGCGGCAGGACCTTCTGCTAGTAACAGAAACATCAAACACATTGTAAGTACACCCCGCATTGTTCTGTTGACGAGAAACGAAGCATACCCGACGCAGGCTCTGCATAGCCCTGGCTCTGTGACTGAGACTGCGACTGCGACTGGGAATCTCCTTCGCCTAGACCATGACGAATAGCGCACGAACAAGAGTAAGTATAACCATTCAGCAGGGCGAAGCCAGCCCAATAGAACGCACCGGCACCCGCTTCTGCTGTGAGTTGCGAAAGTCGGTAAAACTGATCGAGGGACTATAGAGCAATATCACACAAAGCTTAAGACGCCACCATTCCAGGGCAGCACGCTTATCGACAACAGGTGCAGAACGTACCCCGAGCATAAATTCGCGGATAGAGTTGATCTCCATTGCCGAGATATTATTCATCTGAATAACAAAAGCTGTTTCTCCGGCTTGGACATCACCAGCAATCTTGGCCAGACCATTGCGAATCTTGTCCTGTCGCACATTCTGCAAGTCTTCGAGCAACAACCGAAGGTGTTCACTTCGATCCAAATCTTCTGGTGCACTGCAACACATACACAAATTGAAACAAACAAAAAATGAACCCACAACGTTCAGTAGATAGCTATGATCCATTTAGTGCCCAGTAGTTTTCACGTGCTTTTTCAGTAGCAGCGACGCGATCTCCAAGTAATGAAAAGGCAGCTCCTCAAACACCTCACTCGTCTTTTCTCGCTGCAGTCGCGACGTCAGGTAGTCTATCCAAATCATGAAACTGAAAATGGGTACATTTTGACACCTTCAAACGTGACAACCATAGACATCGACCTTACCGACGGACAACCATGACGGTGCAAGAATCCGGCACTTGTTAAGCTGTTTCAGCATAATGGCAAGCCACAATGGCACGTGTGTGGTAATACCTGGCTGAAATGGTCCAAAATCACCCTGCACCCCAAATTGTAGCCGGTCAACAAAGTACCCATTTCTTTTACAAATGTCCTTAAAATAGATCACGTTACACTGATAAAGTTGAGCATGCCGCTGTTGTCACGCAAATTAAAGTGAGGCATGATGGCAATGAGCTGATGCTCGGCCTGCACAGAATACACACATAAACCAAGTCGGAAATCACACCACATGACAGTAACAATAATGAAGTGGCACGACGTACTAAGAACTCTGTCTCGCTCGCTGATAGACTCGTCATCACTTTGGACAGCTATTTTTTCTTACTGTTCAATGACTGGAAGATACCTATTTTATTATTTGGGTACAATGGTCAGATTCGGTGGTGTCCTTTGTGTGCCCATATTCTACCACTTCCTGCTGGAACACGCGCTCTATGCCTCGAAAGAGAGAGACGAAAACAGAGGAAAATGCTTCGAATATCCGGCTGTTTATACAGACTGGTCATCCCTGACAGTAACTACTACTAACACTACTACAGCTACAACTACTACAACTACTACTATCACTACTACTACGACTACTACTACTGCTACTGCTACTACTACTACTACTATCACTACTACTACTACTACTACTACTACTACTACTACTACTATCTACAAAGGCAAACGTGAATTTGCGGATTCAAGGGTTTCGTTCGCGGCGTCACTAGAATTTGTGACTTCTCTGCTGGCAGTTGCTCACTTGTCACTGATTCTACGAGATCAGAGACTGTACTGCCTTCTCGCGTCCTGCTCGACAGCCGCAGAGGTCGGTCATCAACATGTTCACTTACAATAGTGTGAACCTCTTTTTTTGTTACATCTTTCCTCAGCACAGCAGACGGTGTCGCGGAACCACCGGTACAATTGATTGCTGTCTGTCACAAAGGAAGAAAGAAGATAGAGCAAAGGAACTACACTGGGGTCAGTTCAGACTCGAGCGATTCGAGAGAACTCGAGAGGTTGCGTAGGCCATGACAAAAGCTCTTTTTTTTACTTCAAAGATACACTTGGAAGACTCTGTGGCTCCTCCATCTGACTGCACCGTCTACTGACGAGTGGTCGTTTGACTTAAACTTTGGCGACTTTCTACGCCGGCAATGGTTCTTGTTCAAGAACCTGTCACGGGTTTACCGTGCTACTGTTGGCAGAGGAAAAGCAGATGTTGGTCCAAACAGAAAGCTCCTAGTCATACACACGACAGTGTGATATATAACCCAGAATAACAACAGTAGAACAGTCTCACTTGCCGTCTTCCAAATGGTCTTTCAAAGCCAATTTCTCTTTGTGGCTGAATCTACGACGACTTTAACCTCGATATTCGAGTCGTTTCGATGGCCGAATGTTATCGAGATATTCCGTCAGCTGTGTACCATCTGATAAAGTCGTCTGTCATGTAGCCATCTGCTCGCCTGCCTGACTCGTCCACCGCCTCTTGTGTCTCATTTATCAATTAACTCGCTCGAGTATAAAGCGTTTTTTCTAGGCTAACTAGCCCCAACACCACTGGTACTGCAACTACGGACCTACAGGTATCGGGTAACCCCAAGAATACCACCACCATCAACTAACAACAACAACAATAACAATATTAATAGTACTCACCATATAAGAGGACGACATGCCTCTCGCCGTGCGTGATGTGACTGCTCTTTTGCAAGTCCATCTCCGCGTCCACAAGTCACGCTTTGACCGGTCATGTATGAAACAGCCGGAATTTTCGCTGTCGACGCGCATCGTGTTTCGTAGTGTCCAACATGGCGGGATCCGATTGCAAGCTTCGTGGCAAGTCTTTCGTAGCTTTTCGGAATTTCAAGGGCTCGATGCTCAATTGCGACTGGCATTTCCAGACGAGATGAAGCTGTTGGCCCCACCTTTGCCCCATCGACGTCGAACATGGCTACGTCGTCATTGCAGTCCCAAATTCTTGGTCAAACGTTGTGTCGAGTTGAATGACTACTTTGTCCAATTGCTGCAGCTTCCTCATTTACGACTGACGAGATTTCTGGATCCGAGAGCGTCACTGGTGTTGCGATGTTTCTGTAATTTCGAGACTGGTCTTTTGACGTCAGAGGTGACGGTATTGCCGAACCAATTTGAGGATTTTGTACTGAGTCTCGACTCTCGAGATCGAGACAAGAACCAAGTGAATTGCAACGTGAACAAAAGTGGAGGAGAAAGTGGCACTACTGTCACTAGTAGTGAGTGCAGTGCACCGTTATCGGGGAGCATCGAGGTGAACGAAAAGGGTGACGAAAGAGCAGAAAGCAGCGATCGAGTGAGGAATCAGTCGCAGGTGTTGACGATGGTTGGAAAAGGAACGGATGACAATGCAAAATTGGATGAACTTGAAGCGAATCTCATGGACGACAAGACGCGACATATAGTCGTATGCACCAAATTTGAATGTGCTTGTCGCGTCTCACCCTTTCGTGTCGCTCATAACAAAATGAAGCGCATGTTGCAACATCGTGGGTTCAAGCAAGTGTATGCGCCACCTGCCGATACTGCGCTCACGGCATTGTATTGCGTGCTGTATAAGCTGCAGCAGTTGAACGATTTGGACAAGCGGTTGTTTGATGCACTGACAAGGAGTTCTTTCACGACAACGACGAAGATGGAGATCGTAAATGACGGCTCGATAGACGAAAATACGTTGGAAAACGTGGCAGATGATCATTCGCAACTGTCTGTCGGTGTCGAGCTTTTGCGTCATACGCTAGCAAATTACGGACTGCTCCACGTACATGCTTTGGAACGACACTTTCGGACATCGGCTGTGGATCTGAAACAAATACTGCATGAATTCAAGTCTCGACGGCAACTCAGGGTGGGAAATGTAGAGCTTGTGTTGCTTGCTACGATGCTGGATTTGTCCATCAACCTGATTACGAATAATCACGAGGGATCAGAACAAGAGATTCTGCCGCTTGCTGGTCTACGGTCCATTCGAAAAGGTGGTCGTATTGAACTGACGTGTGGATACATGCTGCCTACAGTTGTTTGTGTCAGTGGATTCTACCTGCTAGCTGAGCGGGAGCAGGATGTTTCGGAAGCTGCGCTATGCGTGGAAAGCAAACTGCTGGCAGAGTCACAGCAAAGACGGTTGTGGCAGGGCATAGACGAAATGGATCGAGACTTCATGGCAGAAATCAAGCAAACTCTTTTAGAAGGAGATGGTGCATTTGAACTAGCGTTTGACTTTGACGTGGCGGATTCCCTCAACACAGCTATTCTGGATGCTGTGTGGGACGATTGTCAGCACAATCCAAATCTGTTTTATCTCTTTCACCGGCAAGCTCGACAGTTTGGCAAGGGCCACATTTCTGGCCGCGTTTTCATGCAATATCTGGAAGTGAGTTTCGGACTCGAGGGCGCCAGTTATCTTGTGGATTTCTTGCTGCATGTATTGCCAGAAGAAGAGCTACGCAAGCAGTTGCTTCGCGCTCGGTGGATTCGAGTACGACGTCAACTTTCCAAACGTGTTCTAACCTTGAGGCGGCTTGACAGCATACAGGAACTATAGGTATTACATCTATGTACAAATGTAAAGAAGATGAAATTATGGCACATTGGGTGCGTGCATCTTTCCACGTAACTTTACCAACATGGTGTGTAGTAGACGATGTTGTATAATGATCTTTTGCAGATCACTGCAAAGTTAAAGTAGTAATTATAACATCAACACGGGGCCACAATTAGAGCTCAAAAGGATATGGTCGGTCACGTAAGTTTCTGCTTTGTAAAGAATGGGAAAACAAAAATGCCCTAAATAATTGAAAAAGAAAAATAATGCTCTGGATAATTGGAGAAAAAAAAAGGCCCCACGTCCTTGCAAGGTAGCAGCAATCATTCAATATGGTTGCAACGACCAAGCGATCCTATCGAAAGTTTTGTACTGATTGCTTTGTCCACTGGATTATATTTAACAACTACATTGCGTGAAGCAGAATCACCTGCAACCTATCATCAAAGGTCCCACAAAGAGTTGTATCAAGCTAATAATCGTGATCCAACTTTACTTCGTTTCGTATGCTAAGTGTGCCGACATTCTCTCCATTTTGCTGACACCTTAATACAGACAGCGCTTATTCTAGCCACGGCGTTGAAAGTTTGTATCGTCGGCAGCAACTTGTCAGATGTCGAATGTGTTGTCTATAATCATGAACTTTTATAAAAGAGACTATAAATGCCCCATTGTATCATGAAAATATAGAAATACCTCAGATAAAATACCTCGGATAATTAGAATATAAAAATAATGCCCAGATGAAAATAAGAAAATGCCCCATTGTATCGCGAAAAATGAAAAATGAACCACGTCTTTGTACACTCGAGTTAAAGTGAACACATAAAGCGTCATGGAGATTCTTTGGAGGACTAAACCTATTATAAGCACCACTCACACACAATATGCTCATGCGTCTGACTTACTTTACCTCTTAAACTCTCCATTTCCAGCAAGCTGTCCTTGGATTTTGAAACTAAGATAAGGGAGCGCTCTCTGAAGCTTCCCCTTTCATACAAGTAATCCAGTTTGGAGAATTGAATCAGGATGTAAAACACTATACAGCAGCAGTCACTGAAGAATGAGTATGATGCCCTTGATGTATAGATTTACCCAGTTCTACGGTACTATGCTCAAGCAACGCGATCAGCCTTTGCTTGCTTTTGTGATCATATTCACCTTGAATCGATTTTAAGCCAATCACATGCGTGTGCCACATTAGTATTTTAGCCAATAGGTGACTTTGAATTTGCCTACATACCTTTTTCCTTTCATGCGGCTATATTGACTTGGCCTTACGAGTTCTCAACTATGTAAAAAACTAGAGATATAGATAAATGTGCACCGGACGCGTTGAGTAAAGGTAAGCTCGCAGTAAAACTTGTGACCGTCAAATACGGCTCAAAGTGAGCACCCAAAAATTTCACGAAGAATATGGGTGAAAACTAGCTTGCTAACATCACGTGTAGCGAGAAGACGCGGATATCGACGCAAGACGACCCCACCAGTTCGGTCGGTACGTAATACAACGACTATGTGATCAAGATAAGGAGCCGGTACAGATCCCTTGCGATGTATGAAACGAATATGGGCAGCAAAGGTGGTAAAAAGCCTGAAAACGTGCTGGTTAGCGAGTGAGGCTGACGGTGCTCGAATACGATGGCGTTACGCTGGGTCCAAAGCTGATGGATCACATTGTCTAGAAATACGTATTAAATCACTCGTAAGGCTTCAGGATCAATATCACGGGAACAATTTACCGGGATGGTGGCGGGGTGAACGACAAGCGACCACACCACAGACATACCGATCAATGGAAACCAGGCACGACTGGTAAAGGCTCAAATTTGGGCCGCTGGTGCACATTAGAAGAAAAGGTGACGCTCCGTCTCGACGGCAATTGTGCAGCCCTCATACGGACAAGCATAACGTCCGGAAGAGAACTTTGCAGAAAAGAAAAACGCGATCCGACGGGCAACAGGTGAAACATCAGTCGAAATTAGGGGTCGTGCAGAACTGGGAGAGGTCAGTGTAGCCGAAGGCAGACAAGTTAATCTCTCCATTAGATGGAAATCGCCCTCACTAGGAGCTGCGATGAAGCTAAAAAATTTAATCTGTGGAGAAATCCTTCAGTTACTCTCGTGATTATTACACCAGCTAACACACGCGCTTTGTACAACAGTTTTTAAAGTCATCATTGAAATTTGGCTGCTAATTTTTTTGCCGTGCAAGTATTTACATAAAAGAGCTATTGCTTACGCGCTTTTTTGTGCGGGGTGCCAAGTGACCGTTATCAGTGCGGACCATACTATTTATCGACCACCTATTCTTAAGTCGCTCACAGGTATTAGTGCAGACCACACTATTGATGAATCCACACTACTTATAGGCTTAAAGATTTAGTATGGACCGCGCTAATTTTGAATGCAGGAAATTGGTGCGGATTCATAATAACCGAAATAGCGCAGTATGTAATGACGTATTCGGCTACACGATACAAAGCCCAGTTGGAAAGGGAGTGTATCGTAAGGGATGCGGTGTATGCCAATAATTTGTTGTTGTTCCGGAGTCAGTTGCAATTCGTGCCATCGACCACTGACATAAAGTGCTATACTTATAGGTATAGAGGGTGCTGTGAAAGTAAAATTCAAATTATTTCAATGTCCTCCATAAATGTTATTTAAGCTTTCGACCGTTCAACCATTGTATAAATCAATTGTGGCTGCATCTGCCTGCCGAGAGTGGTCGGCCAAACTTTAACACACTCTCACCATTTTGCATTTCGCCAATACTCCTCCTCAATCGTCGTACACTCGCCCACACTCGATGTCTACAGCAGAATGAATAGCTTTCGGAAATCTGCAATCCTTAGCGCCGGCAATACCTTCATCAGCAAGTTCGCCTTCATAATGTGCAATTCCACAAACTTTGGTTTTACGATGTCTTTCCTCGCGTAATCGCATATAAACTTCACGGGCATATCAACTTTATAGCAGCAGCAAACGTAAGACCATAGTCAACGCCATACACCTGCTCATTACCGCAGGCAACCAATCTCGCCTTAAAATGTTCATTAGCTCCATCAGCATCTATTAGTTTTTGACCCATTTTGCGTGCAGCACGTGACTATAATTTGGTGGCACTACGACCGATTAAACTCCGTTGTCTTCGAGCGCTTGCAGCTCTTCCGATATTGCAGTAAGCCACTTTTCCTTCTGATCAATCTTCATGGCTTGCCCATAATTCTTCGGGTCCACCTCCCGCACGCTATTCATCGCTTCACCAGGCCGTTCACTTTCTCCAGCGTTTTTGCGTGCCTTTTGGGCCGCTGTCCTGGTCATGTGTGCATCGCGCGTCCAGGGTTTTCTTTGTCCTCGTCCCTTGCTGATTCCTGCTGGAACCAATACTGAGTTTTTCATTGACGCATAACCGCCATTATCTTTAATTGTTTCATCGTCCCCCATTAGATGCACACGACGTAACTGCACAATCTACTCCACGGTCAGTGTCTCCACAATTCGAACGTGCTGCGTGGCGATGAGGATCTCCTCCCTTGGCAAATGAACCCTGCATCCCTTCACTTCATCGCTCTTGCCCATGATGATACCTTGTTTTACACGCTCACCCAGCAACTTGTTACGCGCATCTCTATAAACTGCGCAGGGCGAGCCAAAAGCAACTATGTCGCTTAAGTCTGGGATGCTCTTCGTACGTATTTTCAACGGTGAATGTCTTCCCATTTTCGCTTTGCCCGGACTCCGGTTAAAAGTATACACCGCATATTCCGCGGCGTCCCCCCAAAATCTCAACGGCAATTTACAAGCGAAGAGCATGCTCTGCACCATGTTCATAATGTTGTGGTGCATCCGCTCTACTTTTACGTTTCTTGATTGGGTACGTGGCTTGCTCACCTGTCGCGCAAAATCATTGTCCTTGCAGAATAGCTACAAAGTACTATATTCTCCTCCACCGTCCGTCCTTAAATGTGAATCCGAAAGTTGAATTTTTGCTCCAAAAAAGCCCTGAAGTGCTTGAACATTTGAGCTGCAACATCCTTGGACTTTGCCAAGAAAACGCGAAAGTCGTTTGTCCAATGGTCGATAAAATTCACCATGTAGCGGTTGCTCAACCTATCAAGAGGGGTCATCGGTCTTTTCAAGTCGGAGCAAATAACTCCTCCAATAAAATCGATTTGTGCGTTTCTATCAGTGTTTTTTTCGAGACTGCGGGATTGTGGTCTTATACCTCGAGCGCAAGCCAAGCAGTTAGCCCGCAACTCATCCGTGAGCTGTATTCCTGATGCGATGTCCCTGGCCATCTTAATGATAGTGTCGTAATTAAGGTGCGCAAGCCGTTAATGAAAGTGCATTAGAGATCCTTTCTGCACATCCTGACCGACGTCCACCTCGTGTTGTGCAAGTTCTGACATCAGTACGTCACGTCCCGTCGTATCTCGTTCGTATTTTTGTGCGTGCACGGCCACCACGTTATTGTGTATTTCCACGTCGGAAACAGCCGGTCCTTCGATAAGTGCGGCTACCACACGCAATGTCCCTGGTATGATATTTTACACCCTTTACTCTCCAATAATCCATACGAATAATGTTCCTCTCGAGGTTTTTTGCGAAGTACACATACGTCAAGCACAACTTGGTTCTTTTCCCCAGTACTGTCATCGCAATAAGCATACTTTTGCGCATCATTATGTGCAGATGTCCACCATCCGCAGCAACGCACTCGCTGATGTGTTTTTCAGGGTCTTCCAGCATTGAATCGTTGTTAACTAGGTGTCGACTCAATACGCTATCAAGGATCCAGTAATTTTTCTTGACACTTGATCTGTCTATGGCAAGAACGAAGTCGACACCATCCATCGCTCTTGTCTCAGCAACTTTATCGAGGCAAACCATCTTCAGATTTCCTGACTTTCCACATTTGTAGCACGTTCGTATATCTCGATGGTCCTTGCGATTGTATGTTCGATTTTTGTGATAGACTCGGCGCCCATTGTCGACGGTATTTACCAAGTCCTTTCCAATATTCTCCCCACGCAGTTCAGTCTCGATCGACTGCGCGAATTGCGCAAGCTTATTTGCCTGCCGCAAATAGTCGATGCGCGTGAGTGTTCAACCTCGCCAACGTCGACAACCTCATACTAAAGTAAGAGTGTTGCACAACGTTGTCTTAAACAAGGTTGTCGGCACCTCCACACGCTTCACACACCGCCACCAAATACAGGTAGTGCTCCGTACAGCTTCGCTTGGAGCTCTTGGGAGCTGTAAAAATCTTTGTAATCTGCGCGGGTTTATCTTTTGTCACAAACGTATGGAGTAGACGCTGCAACGCATGCTCTAAAGTTGATTGTTCTTCCCACCACCTCTCGACCTGTTGGTTGTAATATCGCTTAGCCATCCCGGTCAAGTGGTACCCTAGCATGTCGACCTTGACGTCTTCACTCCACTGTAAACCACTTGCTCGCTCCGCAAACACGATCTGCCCTACAAATCTTGCCCCACGATAGATACAGATATACCACTTTCGAGCCCTTGATACAATTCCTTGTCAATAAAAGTTTGGATCCCCAGCTTCCTCTGTCACGTATTTGGCACGCATTCGTATTAAAGTCCTATACCATGTGGGGTGGAGGCGTCGACTTTTACATGGGTGGTGGTACGTAATGCTGCGGCAGCACTGGCTGCGGCGCTGGCGTCATCTCAACGTTGGCTGCTGCCCAGCGTATCCAGGCTGTCTTGCACCAAAGTACGTTGATGGCGATACTCCGGGCGACACACGCCTCGGTGGCGACACGTCCAACGCCCCTCTAATCCTGAATTTACTCCGCCCCAACACCAAGCCAAAAACGCTAGACCATTGCCCTTGAAACGCTCCTTCTCATCCAGTCGCCCTGCGACGCCTTCATGCGCTCCGTGTGTAACGGGGCACCCTGAAGCTTGTACTGGTGACAGTACAAGCTACTTATTCTGATAACAGAATAAGGCGGTGCCTCGTAACTTCACGTACACTCGTACGTGCAGAGGAAGACGGTAAGAAGAAGCGAGTACTCGGTTAGAGTAAAAAGTAGAACTGTATTTATAATAGTTAATGTCTGCAATAAATCACTATTTATCTTCATCTAACTATGTCTAAATACAAATGTGTAAATCAGTTATCTGCTCACCACTCATTGCGTGCGTCTGTCGTGGCAGCGTCTTCGTTGGTTGATATAATGGCCTATATCAACCAATTAGGAACTACTTGAAGTGCTACAGAATATTGTCCTTATGACAATATTCTGAGAATATAACTCTTATAGTTATATTCTATTAACAATTTCTTATAAATTGTTATGTAACGATTCACCCCGTTACATCACTCCCCCTTAACCATCAGTCACTTTAGTGACTGATTGACTAAATGGATACTCGTCCCAAATCATTTGGGACGGGGTTTGCACTTGTTGGTCCGCGTCCACTTTCCAACATCTCATCGCATGGTAAACAAGCCCATGCGATGCGCGAGCAAGGCCGCCGAGAGCGCGTCTGCACGTCTCTGTGCGGACGCCGAAGCAGAAACTACAGCAACTGATATCCCATCGGTTGCTGAATCGACTCAGCCTGTATCACCTGGTGATGCAGGCGCTGGTCATGAAGACACTCGTGTCTTCACAGAGTACGAGCTCGGTGTCTCGTACTCTCCTGATACGGATGACGGATCCGTATCGACGGCAATTGAATCCAAGCCGCCTGCCAAGCGTGGCATGGACGATGCTTTGCGTCGCAGCATCTTTGGTTCATCTGATGAGTCAGATGAACCATCGCCGAAGCGAAGGCGCTCGAGGTCGCGAGACTCGGGCGCCAATAGTGGTGTCGTTTCTCCAATGGACACCACTTCACAGCGAGGTGCCAGTACTTCTGTCGGCACGTCGCAGGAAGAGCGGGACCGCAATGTGTTGCGTCTCGCTCCAGAAAAGAAGGCATGGATGCCTCCTAAATTCGTCATGGATCACTTGTCGGCGACGACGAGTGATCGTTATCGAACACGATTGTTCGATTCGTCAAGGATCCATCACTTGACCCCAGCGCGAAAGACTATCGCGCTGAACATGAGTTCTTCATCGATGCTTTCTTCAGACATCGATGGTACAGTGGGAATCACAAACGTGATGGTCCCTCACTACTTCAGGCGTGGAACGCCTACATCCATAATCTCGAGGATGTAGGTCGTGACGCTTGGAACGACAAACTTATCAAAGCTCGTGATAAGTTTGAAAAGCGAACCCCGACAGGTGCACGCTATAAGCTGCATCGTCTGTCAAGGGAGAAAGGATTACCCTGCCTCTCTTGGGGAGACTCGTGCCCATGTTGTGTGAACAACTCTGCACGAGCACCTAAGGAGGCTTACCTCCTTACCAGCCCGTGGTGGCGCGTACGTGTCTCTACTGAGATGTACGAAGGGATTGACAACCTGAAATCCCTTTACGACCGTGCCGGGAAGACTTTCTCCGGCGGTCCTTCTGCGGCACAGGATGTGTCGCGTCGTACTGCTCGACCAGACCCAGTACGTCAACCATCAATTGGGAGCGGGGCTCCCAAGAATCCCAGGACGGGGGATAGTTGGCGCCACCGGACGAGGTAACTCGTCCGACGTCCGTTCACGTCGCGGTGGTTCAACAGCTGCTCTACTAGATAGCGCTGGCCACCGCGAGAGTCCTCTAATGGAGGTGGAGGAGGAGGAAAGACGCTCTCCACACGATCATGTGGATCGGTGTGTTCCCGAGAGCTTTTTGATCGCGTAACGCAAGGGTTACGCGACGATCTCGAGCATGAGCGGAATAGGCGTCTCCAGATGGTGGACACTGCCTCGAAGCATCGAGCTGAGTTTGCCTTTGCTCAGCTTGAGAACGAGAGATCTCTGACATCTCTTCGTGACGAGCTAAGGGTAGCTCGTGGGATTGTTGATCGGTCTCGGGCTGAGATAACTGCTCTTCAGACCCTTGTTGATGCCCACCATCGGGAGCACAAGGCTCTCTGCGAGATGCTTGAGCGCAAGGGCGTTCTTCATCGGAAGAAGCAGCGTACTGATGGTACGGCTTAAGCCGACCAACGTAAAACGTGGGATGCGTTCGCATCTTACGTGGTAACTCGATCGTGTATGCATTGCCTAGGCGGTGCAATACACGAAATGGGCCAATGTACTTGGGTAGTAGTTTACTGCTACCCAAGTTAGTCACTACATGCTTTGGTAGATTAACCGTAGACAGTAGGACTAAGTCACCTTTATTAAATAAAAGAGTGTTTGCCCTTCCATTCTTGTCAGCGTTTTGCTTTTGCTTATCCACCGCTTCGGCGATGGAGTCTTGCACAAAACGGACTACCGTTTCACGAGCCAGTATGAACTCATCTGATGACTCGTTAGCTTCAGTGTGCTGTGAGCGCACTGCAGCAACAACAACCTTTCTTCAGTG